ATGGACACTTGATGCGAGAAAGACGACGGGAAACGTCGCTGTGGTCAAAACTACTTTTGAGAAAAACGGCTTTGACAAAGAGTCATGTAAAATGCAAGCCAAAATTTGTAGGGATTGCACAGAGTTTTGAAGCTTTATCAGGGTGTCCCATCCAGGCCAGTAGTTTGTAGGCTTCCTTGCCATATTCATTAGATGCACTTTCAAAATTTATTTCGACTGACAGTCTGACTCTTATGACTGATATAAACTGTTATTTCTCAAGAGGAGTTTTGACAAGGAAGCTAGTTTTGACAAGTGTTTAGGTGGAATCCAGAAAAAACATTAACCTATACTTACATTTGGCTACATGCCAGACATCAAACATGATTTACAGTTGGAAGGTGTTCTCTGACATACTTTGCAATCTGGCGATGTCTGTCAGTAACCAGCTTCTCTATTTGGGTATGTTTTTTCTTGAGGTGTCTGGCCATATGGCAAAAGCTTTTCAACTCTCAAGTAGGCCTATATTGTAAAAAAATGTATGGTGAATGAGTCCAAACAAGCCCTCTTTTCAGGGGTACTGATAAGATTGAAATGGTACATTAAGGGGTACAAAATATACATCGCCCATTTTACTTGACTTTCCAAAAGTGTGCTAAATTGTACATGTGTATCTTTAACTTGGCTGTAAAAACCTGAGCTTATTAGGCTCTAAGCAGCACACTTTTTTGGAAATGGACCCCATCTACAGCCTACATTGCGACATGCAACCGCTGCACCTAACCAGCCTAGCCATAGAATTTGGGTTTGGTGTCCGCGTAGACATCAAATCTAACGTACACTACAGGTACCGTCCATAGCCACATGTGTACATGTACATAACACGTGTACAAATAATGCATGACATGACAAAAACTTACCCTCCTCCTTTCTCGATTTGCAAATGTATCACTCTGGCTCTTCGGTTTTGCAAATTCCTCTGAATTACGGACAGTAATTCTGCTGGGGAATGCTGTAGCTTTTAGCCAAGGTGCCGCTCTCACTATACCGAACTGTCCATGGAATGTTTTTTCGTAGTCTTCTGCTGTGAAATGGTCACTACAGATGACACTTGTAGCGGACGGCCCGTCCCAGTTTGCCCTCTTCAAGCTAACTTTTGCAGTCCAAATTTTCCGCAACAACGGGTGTTAGGAAATCTGTGCAGGCATACATGTACATGTACACTGTCCTTCAGTGTATTACTGCATCCTGCAACAACACATCTTGTTGGCATTTTAGCTATTCAGAACCGAATTCTAAAGAGTTTTTGGTAGGAAACACTGTGCAATTCGTAGGTCAATCCACGTGTAAAGCAGCACAGTTGCAAGGTCGGTGGCCCCAGGATTACATGACCGGGTTCTTTATGCAACATCATAGACCATGTGATGCATTACATCATTAATTCACCGTTTACAGTGGTCAAAAGGGGGGGCACAAAAATGCGCAAAAAAATTGTCAAAATCAGCTGAACCGGTAGAAACAAACAAGAAAGCGATGTGTTTCTTGCTTTTTATATTTAGTACAGGTTTATTAAACACTATAATGGTCTTGAATAACGGGGAACCTTTAACAGATATGAATGGCACCAGTGACTCTTTGTGTACTCTGTTGACATGTACACTGGCGTGCAAATCAATTTGCACACCTACAGACTGTATATACTTGACAGATTTGTCACTTTTTCTCATAAAAACAAAGAAGATATTTGATTAAAATCCTTGTAGTTGAAGTTTTCTAAGTTCAATTCATTAGTTCAGGGCAACAATTAATCTGAAACTCTAGTTCCTCGAGTGCACAAAGTCAATGCATGAACGTTGAAATTCAAGATGGCGGTGCCCATGGACTGTCGTAAACAAAGAAGACGTGAAGAATTAGTCCTGCAGGCTAGTACCGTGTAAAAGCCCCAGCGGGGTCGATGACAGCTTGGCACCGCTGGCCCATTGACCCCAACAGATTGGCCAGGATCTGATGATCCAGACCGTACTACATCCGCTGAAGAATGCGGAACAAATCATCCTTATTCTGAGGTCGAGTTTGCTTATGAAGCTGCCTCTCCAATTTGTCCCACAAATTCTCTGGTGGATTCAGGTTGGGACGCTGGGCTGGCCATTCCATCAGCTGGAATTCCCAACTGCCCCCCATCTCTCTGACAAAATCTGGGGGTTGGTTGGCCAGATATTCCTGCGTAATCCTAGCAGCATGCGGCAGCTGCTGAAACAAGAATTCCAGGCCGATCAAACTATGGGCAGAAGGGATCAGGTGGTCGCGGAGAGTATCAATGTAAACCGCCGTGTTGATATTTTCCTCTACTCACACCAGGTTACCGACACCAGCAGAGCTGAAACAGCCCCACACCATTATGCAAGACCTGCCGTGTTTGAATGACGGGACTACACATCTCCTCACGTAAACCTGGCCGTCAGACTGGTAAAGCATTCTCTGCCCATGGTGCTTGAAAACAAGCTTTATTCTGGATGGTTCATCTTTCACAGAGCCAAAGGTACGTTCGTTCGCATTGAGTTGTGCATGCAGACCTTGTTCACTGAGCAGCGCAACTGTATTCCACATCTTGGCGCATTTAGAAACATGGCATAGAAGGAAGTGCAACTTGGGTGGAATCCGTTCCTTGGGGGAGGCTTGCAGAAACGACCTGCCCAAATCCCGACACAGTTTGTCGACTCATGTGAAAGATAAAAACCCCTTTTCAGTGATGTGGAATATGTCCCTTAACCTAGAAAAAAGTTCTCTGTATGCCCCTTGCTTCTCAAATCCATCGCGCATATCATCAACTGTTATGATTGATTTAGAATTATTTTGCAGTGATCGCAACAAAACTCTGTGAATGATAGCCCTGCTTTTTTACCCCCAGCTCGTTTTCCAGCACTTCACCGAGTCTCTTTTCCAGGGGCCCCATTTTAGATTTCACTTCATCATATATCTTCTGAAGGGCACTCTTCCTTTTGTCCCATCCCATTTTTATTTGTCCCACCCTCTTTTTTAGCCTATCTACAACTATTTCCTGCTTCAACACAACATCCTTAACACTTTTCTCATCCCCCTTACAAACTGGAGAGTTTTTCTTCTCCAATATCAACACCCTTTAATCTGATATAATCTTTATGAAACCATCCTTTCTCTTGCCCATTACCACACTCATCACACTGAAACCATTCCACATCTCCTTCAACCTCTCCTTCCATTACAGCAACAGCACTAGCAGAAAAATCACATGGATCACATTCACACCTACCACTTCGTCCTCTTGTCACCTTCCGGAATTCCACTAACAACCTCTCTTCATACTGTATGTCAAGTCTTTCGCTGCTTGGCTGTGCTCTCTCTCACCCATTTTAGCCTCAATAGACAATTCCTGCCACTTATCATTTAATTTATCATCCGTTGTCCTCAGGTCCCTTTGATCTTTGTCCGTACACAAAACTCAATATTTCTGTAGAACCTTACCACAAGACCTAACATAATATGTAAGATGGGTGGAGCTATATATGTGCATTAGATCATGGATGATTGGCAAGATAGGCTAGCTGGAGATAGAGTTGTGGTATGGGCCATTTGTCTCGGTGTTACCACCCCTCCTAGGATCTGCCTTTTTATCGGCAAGATCCTGGACTATCTCCTCAGGTTCTCTTTGCTTGTACCATGATGGAATGTCCATCCAGCCCTCGCCAGCCTCATCCCTGATTTTAGAGGAGTGGGCATCTCCACCTGTTGCAAGGGCTGAGAGGGGTACATAACACCAAAGGCATGGGTAGGATGCATTGGAACCCATATGGCCCATAACCTTTGTTAAAAACTTGTAATCCCCAGCTAAAAAAAATGCATATATTATTTGTCCCGGAACCCTTAATTGTAAATTATTTTGAAGCTTTAAATCTGTTGTTTGAAAGGAGAGAAAATCATGGCGATATTATCATACGAATCAGTTGCATTATAGAGGACAAGAATATCTGTTTAATCGGCAGAATTACTTTGATTGAAGTTACATATCCGGCACACAAGTTTGGTGCTTGGCCCCCTCTATCCCCTAGAATTTTTATCCATACTTCTCCCCGAAAATTGGTGAGGTCCCAGACATCCCCCGTTTCCATGTTGCTCCCGATGAGATTTTCAATGTGGCTTGTCAGATTTCGGATGCGGATGTAAGCCACATCAGTTGGAGATGACGAGCCAACAGTCTTGTTCATCTGCAACTCCCCCAGCTTGGTGGTCTTCTCTGATATATCATGACGACCTAAACTGATGATAAAAATGCAAATCAAAGTTTTGAGAATGGAAATTTTACTTAAACCTCATTGCAAATAGCCATTGTGGATAACTTGTCCTTTCAATCTACATCAGTCAAGGGACCAAGTAAAACACTTGATAGTCACTAAACATGACTGTTGGTATTACTTGATTGATTAGATTTGACTACCAGTTGCCTGCGTTTTTCTTTTTGAGTTAATTTAATTGATCCCAGCACCTGTCGCAATGATTATCTGTCTTGGGAAATGCTATTTTTGACTGCCTGTGACTGTTATAAGTGCTACTGAAGCGAGTTACCTCTTAACTCCCTGTGGACATGCCTGTCACTGGAAAAAAGCCTGACGCCATGATTGGACAACAGGGTGCGCAGCTGCCTGAATTTGTGCATGGGCAACCTCAGCAGCACCTTCAAGTCCAGCGTCTCTCCGACAGTCCGTTCTGTGAATACAATGCTAGAGAAATATAAAATTTACAATTGCATGAACAATCTTCAAAGATTAAGCGATAAATGCATCAAAACCCCACAGAGCAAATTCTTTTGAAGTGGTAAGTTTTGGGATTTTTGAGTAAAACTTAACCAGTTGTGTACATACTCGATGGGGACTCAAGATTTTCTAAGGATTTTTTAACACAATTAGACTTTTCTTCATACCTTGCTACATTTCTTAATAATCAAGTGTATATAACTGCACAAAACAACTTAGGTAACTTTCCACACAGTTTATCTGAATAGTTTATTTTACCTTTCCGCACAGAGGTCAGCTTTGCGACAAGCATCGGATGCTAAGGGAGGGGAACTTCCAGAAGAATGATGCCAGTGTCGTGATGATATCCTCTGAAGTTGGGCTCTCCTTCGAAGATATCATCTGGCACATCTGAAAATTAAAGCGTGAATAAAAGTTATCAACTGGAAGAAACTTATCTTTTAAATTGCAGTGTAGGATTGTTCAGTTTGTTGTCCTCTTCTTCTGGTTCAAAACAGCTTTAAACTGAAATAACATTGGTTTGGTAACTTTCAATTAGTATGTTGCTATTTAATTGAACTTAAGACTATCTTTAACCCTAACCCTCCTCAATCCTTCACCTGTTGGAGGATTGAGGAGGGTTAGGGTTAATGCATATACGGTGGCTGAAAAGTGAAATTTAGACTAAACTGAAGTGTTTACAAAATGAATGTGGTTATTATGAACACACAAAAGAGATATACCTTCATCAGTTCCCTCACCCTGCCTTCCAAAGTCTTTGAAGTTGCCGATGAGCTGGGAGCTTGGGGGGAGTCGGATAGGCACAAGTGTCTGGGGTTTCGATTTGGTGCCGGCTGGTCTTGCGACGAGGACAGGATGTCCAGCTGAAGTGCTTGGATGCTGCTCCAGCTGGATCATCTGCTTGGTGCGAAGAGCAGCATTCTTAGATGCAAGCTGATGGTTCTCTTCTTGAAGGTGCTCAACCTGCTGGGCCAGCTCGTCTCACCTCTTCTCTGCCCTCCGTCGCTCCTCCCCATTTGTTTTGAGGGTATGAAGGAGCTGGTCCTTCTCTGGTCCATTTTATTTACAGTAGACCTTAATGTAATAATATCATGGTTACTGGCAAGAGTTGGTGTTGAAAGGTATTCAGAGAGTCATTCTGGCAGGCAATGAACTCCAGAAGACCTCTGACACGGGCAGAATGTTCAACCTTAATTTTATCATGTAGAAAAAGTTTGATTTTCAATTCTGAAATGGTGCACAAAAATTTCTCAAAGAGTGAGTCCAAAGTTGAAAGTCTCTTCTCACCCATAGCACGTTTTTCAAGATTTGTTTTGAGAAGTTGTGCTTTTGTGGAGTCGAACACCAGCTGTGTTTCTTTTAGGGCACTTTCCATCATTAATATCCCCTTGTGCAACACTACACATGTTCTCTCCCAGATCATCCATATCAACCTCATAGGGGCACAATCAAATTTCCTCGTCTTTTGCACTCAAAGCGTGCACCCCATTTGGCTTCACCCACAACTTACCCCCCTCCCGGCAAAGAAACACCGCTGGTCTTAACTCTAAAAACTCACCTGGGACACTATTCCACATGACTCATGTCCCCCTTTCCAGATCACTAGTGATGGTAACTGGATGACGATCATCGTTCACAACATATTTACACCCATCCCCGTCTTCCAGTTTCAAAGAATTGACCAAGTATTCCCCATCACAAATTTTACTCTCCAACCAACCCAACCAAAGTTTGTCCTCCCTCCAAAACAACGTTGATTGACCTTCCTTCAAATTCTACAGGCACTGTCTTCTTTTGTCGCTTCCCCTTTGGTGTTAGCCATGTTCCCCTGTAGTATCTTTTATGTTTCCCTGATTTCCCTTTTATAGTGTGGGGATTTGTTTTCTCCCCGGGTTATCATCCTGTGATCGCCTTAATGACATGAGCAGGTAGACCTTGACGTCCCCTGTTCCCCACCCCAGAGCTACTTGCCAGTACATCTTCTGTGAAGAAGGCCTGCAGGAAGTTTTAATTCAGCTCCGCGGGTGACCCCTTAGCAGCAGATAGGCAGGAGTCCCGCATAACCTTCTTAAAGGAGACTCCACCCATGTCAACCATCTTGACATCACTTGGGTGTTCCATCTTAGGAGCAGCTACTGGAGTGGACGAAGTGGTGAGTACAGAGACGTAGGAAGTTATGGGCACAGGGTTCAAAGTGGTGGGTGTCAAACTCAACAATGGAGTGGGCACAAGCTAGTGGGAAGGTACATATAGGTGCCACGGTTGGTGAAGTGACGGTTGTTGAAACTGATGACAATGAGAGAAACTCGGTCTCTCTGGCTGAATTTCTAAAAATGCAGGAGGACAAGAAGTCCACAAACTCCACAGTTACAGGGGCAGACAAGTGGGCCTTTAGTCCCGAACAAAAGCAATGTTCTGCTGTGAGTTGGCTTGCAAGGCTCTATATTTCTGCTTTGAGTAATTTTCTCTTCTCTGGCATTTGGTTGACTCTCAAGCCCTCTGCCTGCTGCAGTGCCTCATTACTTTGCTTCAACTGTGACTGACTGTCAGTCTTCTGCCAACTATATTGAACAATTGTTTTACTGTCCAAGTACAAAAGTTGTCTCATGTGCATGCCGTAGATTCCCGACAAAGAGAGAGATGTGGAAGGGCCTGAAGCCATGCTGCTTGAAGCTA